AAAATAGGATATGTGTTTATAAGTGGAGGAATAGATATATCATGGAAATATACGAAACAAACCTTAACAAAAAGGTCTTCAAATCATTCTAAAATTATTGCAATCCATTAGGCAAATCGTCTTCAAATTATTCTAAAATTATATCCAAGTATCACGTGAATTGGCTTCAACAAAGATAGTCCAACAATATTATATGCAGATAATGCAACTTGAATTGCACAACTCAAAAGAGACATGACAATGTATATTTCTCGAAAAAATTTCTACACACATAAGTTACAGAAGACTGGTGATATTTATGTTCAATAAATTTGCTGAAGTGATAACGTAGCTGATTTATTCACAAAGCCTCGTCGACGTCTATATTCAAGAATTGATGTACAAGATTAGAATGCGTCGACTCAAATATTTTGAGTGATCAATGTCCAGAGGAGTAGTTATACTCTTTTTTATTTGTTTCATTGAATTTTCTTGATAAGATTTTAATAAGACAATATTTATTTTTCATACTCCAAAAATATTTGTACTCTTTTTCTTCATTTGATATTTTTGTTCTGTTGAATTTTTATCAATTTTTAAGGCAACCATTTTGCAATATGTTATTCAAAGGGAATATTGTAAAGTATATGTTTATCAATGAATGATCATTATACTCCCTACAGTCCTAATTATTATGACTATTATATCCTTGCAGCTCTAATTATTTCCTATAAATATAGATTTTGATTTTCATTAAAATATACACAATTCTATTGACTTCTTTATATATTTTTTCTTTTTTTTCTCTCTATGTTATAAAAAAAACTTTGTTATTTATGAAAACATGTTAAGAAATATTATTTATATAGGTCCACTCACTTACTTAAGTCAAATTTATTATTTTGTTCTACCACTTTTTAGTTAGAATGATTCTACTTGTAAATAATGGAGTAACGTAATGATTTATGGATTAAACTATTCGTACACACTAAGTGTGCACCTTTCTATGTGTCAAAAATTTGACAGTTGATTGAAATAGGCGTTGTCAACATTAATATTCCAGAATTTGTCAATTCACATGAGGGTAAAATAATGTGTTAATTTTTATGTATGGATGAGATGTCAAAAAGACATTAGGGAAGTTTTTTTTTTTTATTTGATTGAAAATTTTTTGACCTAATCATTTTTCTTCACATCATGTGTTTGTAAAGTGTAAACCATTATGTAAATCATTATTTACATACAACATAACCATTTTTGTCTCAACCTTTCATTAATGAATATGTCTTGAAGTTTTCATCAAAAACGTACGTTAATACAATTAACAAGCAGTATGATAAAGAAAGATTAATGGTAATATAATCTCCATAAGTCAAATTATAAAGGCTCAAAATATTGGAGAAAAGTAATTCAAGATATGAAAAATCGTTCTTCTTAATATATTTTTACCTTACTATTTTCTTGTTTGACATTTTTTTCCCGTTGAATTTTTATCAAAATTTATCGAGACAGACATTTTGTTATGTGTCATTCAAGGGGAATATTGTAAATTATATATTTATGACTATTGTATCATTACAATCCTAATTTTTCCATATAAATATGACATTTTGATTATCATTGAAATACATTCAAATTTATTGACTTCTTTATATTTTCTTTTTATTTTCTCTCTATTTTATAACACTAACTTTGTTATTTATGAATACTGAAAATATAAGAATGTAAAATAAAGATATTAAGAAATATTGCTTATATAGGTCCACTCAATTATTAATAGCCTGTTTGGTTCATATTAAAATGAGAGAATGCACTTTTTTGAAGTGATATGATGGAAAATATGTGGTTGAAAAAGAAGGAAAAGTTATTGATGTGATATAAAATATTATTTTATTGAAAAATGTGTGGTTGAAAATGGGCAGAAGAATGAAAATGAAAAAAATAATGTGGTACAAACGGGGGCTAAGTCAAATTTATTATTTTGTTCTACCACTTTTTAATTAAAATAATGCTACTTGTAAATAATGAAGTTATATAGTAGTTTACATACACATGAGATGTAAAAAAAAATAGGGAGTTTTTTTTTAATTTGATTGAAGAAATTCTAACACAAACATTTATCTTCACATCATCTGTATGTAAACTATTATGTAAATCATTATATACATATAGTACAACCATTTTTTATCTCAACCTTTCATCAATGAGTACATCTTGTGCAATAGTTTTCTTCAAAAAATGCCTTTAATACAATTAAAAATGATAGAGCAAAGAAAAATCATAATGGTAATATGATCACCATAAGTCAAATTATCAAAGGCTCAAAAAATCGGAGAAAAGTAATTCAAGATATAAAAAACCTTTCATCTTAATATATTTTTACCTTTTAAATTATTATTTCATAATCCTAAGTAGAAATGTACTCATATTTTTATTATTGTAAATTAAATAATATTTGTGAATGACAGTTGTA